TAATAAATATGTGTACTGTATTTGCACACAGATCAAAAGAGTTCACCACCAACTGTACCAAGTTTTCTTATTGGATATTTRAAATGGTTGCCATCTTCTTCAAAGACCACTCCAACATGTGGTDCATTGTTTCTGGAAGATAATTCATCTTATCTACCTATCGAAGTTAGTAATTTTACTGCAAATAGCAATTGATCTTTCTGCTTAAATTCAATGTACACTAAGCAAAAATATTTGGATGGAGTTGAGCATGATGTCGTAATCTAAACTCAACTGAAAAATCATTGTAGGGTTCAGAAACATAGAACATAAAAGCTGAGACCAAAATGCACATAAATGACATAATTATATTATAATTTATTCATTTGCGGCATCCATGCAGTCAGTTTAGAATGTCAAACGCGTATTAAAACAGTTGATGATGCCACGGGTCGCCGCTCAAAGCATGCATCTAATTAACTTACTTCCTATATGCCATTTCGGTCTCAGCTTCTATGTATATGTTTCTGAACCCAACAACGATTCTTCAATCGACTGTATACTGTAATATCAAGACCAAGGTTGTGCTATCTGCTAAAGGTGTAGGCTGTAGAAATAATTAACTACGACCAAATTCAAAACAATGTGAAAACCAAATTCGATATATGTTTTATACATTTTGTAAACTGAGAATGAATATTTGGTTTGCTTTGCTTAATATCTCCAATATGACCTTAAGAAGCAGAATACATGTACTGTGGTTGGTAAAATGCATAATAGTGGTAATATTGGTATGTGCTGCAGATGTTGAGGAATAAATGTATGGCATTTGGGTTAAGTTGGAAAACATGCAAATGCTTGATATTTGTGTAATCTCTGTGTGTGGGATGGATGGGGGGGATGGGTGATTGAGAATTCATTGCGATAGAGATTGATCGAAAACGTATGTCAGAACATTGAAACTACAGTGTACAGTACATGTATCTATTGCATATGAGTGCTACATGTATCTYCTTTATTTGTTGTGCATACAGATTGTTACTGCTGATATCAAGTGGTTAAACCAATTGGTTGTATTACCAACCTGGACTTTCATTCCTGTGCTCAGCAGCTCTAAACATGGTCAGTGACAATAGTTTAACTAATTTCACTGGATTCAAAGTTTCTGGTATTGTATTGAACTTGAATTTCATGAAAGAATTTGAATGCTATTGCCGGGGAACATTCAGGTTATTATATGAYTCTTACTCACGCTGAAAATAGGATTAATAAAGCTTAAAAGAAATATTCATATAATTGATAACTGTATTATAAATTGCAATATACTTCAGGGACATAATGCTGTTTACTGTACAAACTATATCTGACAGAAAAATGGTAATGCCATTACAATGTCAATTAATATTACAGTACAGGCCAGAAGTTTTTCAGGGTCCCTACGATTAATTGATGTAAATTCAGAATATCATTCTTGTAATAGAACTAAATATGTGATGCTGTTAGGGCCAGCAAGTTCTTCTTGTCAATCACTTCCATCCAGTGGATACATTGAGGCCACTTCAGGATGTTTTCCAGTGTTCAAAATTCACAAGGAGAGACTTGAACCAATGCCTGTTTATACATCAGTGTCTGATTACCAAGAATGTGAGAGGTAATAATA